CGTGGACTCCACCCGGGCCTTTGTCAGCAGCCCAGAAAAGGTAACCGCGGCCATTTCGAACATGGCTGTGTCGGCATCCGCTGACAGGGGCTCTGCTGCGGGGCTGCTGGAAGTGTGCTGGCTGGGCAGAGCTGCTACTCCCAGGGCTCCCAGATGGCTCCCCTTAGCCTCCTCCAGGCTGAACACCCCCAGCTCCCCCAGCCACTCCCCAGCAGCCTTGGGCTCCAGACCCCTCCCCAGCTCCGCTGCCCTTCTCTGGACATGCTCCAGGCCCTTCTGGGAGCGAGGGGCCCAACGCTGAACCCAGCATTCGAGGGGAGGCCTCACCTTATGTCCTACAGCGGACATAGTGCTCACCTTGCTTGGCCCAGCCCGTTAGATCACCATGACCAGGATGAGTGAAGTCCTCGATATCTGTAGACAGTTCTTTGTAAATGTTTTCTAAACTGCAAACAAAAAACATCAGAAGCTTTTAAACATGCACGTTCAAAGATACGAGCAAACAGCACCACTTACTGCTCTTACACTAGACAAGAAGAGTATTGATTTGCATCTTGCCACTTAAGATAATAAAGCCGTTTGTAGAGGTGGGGTAAGAAGGACCCCCCCTTTGCGTGCCTGAAAAGAAGCTTAATGAGAAGGTCTCAGCACAACTGAAAATGCAGATTTATGTCCAGCGAGCTCTTCAGAATACCAAACTATACAGAATTATCCACACTTCTGCAGTGATGTTTTTTCTAGGCAATGCACAACTCAGAATTTCAGTAGCCACAACGCATTTCCTATCACTTGTCCGACTCACGGCCATAAGCAACACAGAACCACAAACAGTTGGTAAACAAAAGGGATTTTGCAAATTGAGGGCTGTCCTACCTGGGGGGAGGAGGAACAGGCTTCTGGACACTGAAACAGAGCCCATGAGCTTGATTAGGTCCATGATACGGATCTTGGCCCAAAATGACCACCTTTACCTGCAAGCAGACCTTTGTTAGCACTGAATTATAATCAATATTAATCCCAAAAGAGAGAAGAAAAAAAAAAAAAGCAAAAAAGCTTATAAATGAGCTTTATCCTAAAATAGTCAAAGAAACCCCCTAAACCAGCAAACCCCAGGAACTGAAGTTAAATTGCTGACATCTCATTATAACCAAGTGAAAGAACACAGCTTCCTCCTAACGCTAAGGATTAACAACTCCACAGCTTTGCTGCTGAGATTATGAAGGTATTTTGAGCGCAGAAGACCAACGTTTTCAAAGAACCGCAATATAACACCCTTTTAAGGTATTTCCCAAGTAGATTTCCTCACGTTTTCATTTTATGTCACACTTGCTGTGATGTTTTTGACACACCTTATTAGCAAGGGGGTTCCCTGAAACACCGCCTTGTTTTTTTAGAGATAGTTCATTACAGATCAATTGAAAAAACAAGAGATGCGAGAGATCCCAAAATCAAGCACTACATTAAGTTGGTAACGCTGGAAATAAGGTCAAAAGTCCACCTAAAGTTTTATAGGAGCTTCTGTAGCCCGCGAGGGCAATAAAACAATAAAACCACCTTTCAGTATCCCAGATGAAAGCAAATGCAGGATTTACAAGTTATGCGAGAGAAACAACAGCATCCACATCACGTAGGATTGAAGCTTAAGAGACCAAACGCCAGATGAACGCCTCTGTGCCCCCAAGCCCACACTGGGAGCCCCCCAGCCCCGCGCTGGGCACCCCCACGGGTGCCTCCAACCCCGCGTTTCCATCACATCAAGCGCAGCAGCTGCCGGAGTGACCCCAGCCTCTCCCCAGCGCCCTACTCACATCCCCGATGTCGCACATCTGCGTCCAGGTGAAGACTTGGTCGGGCGGCGGGTAGACCGTGTAGCGTTTCCTCTCCTCCGCGACAAACGCCATCAGCTGAGGAGGAGAGGGACAGGCTCAGCCCGGGGCAGCGGCCGCACAGCCCCGCCGCCCGGGGCGGCCCCGCCACGCTCACCTCCACGAAGTAGGGCTTCGAGAACTCCCCGGCCAGCTGCCGCCGCCAGCTCTCCCCGAAGCCCGGGGGCACGTTCCGCT